TTGTGGACTCTGCGGAAGCGACGTGGCATCGCTTGTCCGGCACTTGTCATTGGGAGTGCCCAGCTGCAAGGCAGATGGGTGCACTCTTGGAGTGTCCGCTTCAAGTCAGCCTCCTTGCAGATATCCTGGTGGGATTGAGGGGAGCACAGAGCCGGATACTTGGAAGATGCAAACCTAAACCCTAAACCCTAAACCCCAAAAATACTACTGCTGTCCTTGGCCGTATCAATCTGCATGTAGGTTGCGTACATGCAGGGATCACCGGCCCATGGGGCGGAGGCACCCATAAAACCCGATGTCCTCAACCACTGAAACCCTTATCACGAACCTAAGCCCCTCGATGGCATATAATTAAAAAAGTTACCCCTACCTGAAAGCCTAAACCTTAAACCCCAAAAACACCCGGATCTGACGTCCTTAGGGTTCCCATGTGCATCTTCTCGATGCTGCTAGAATGTCCCGCAACCCTCTTCTACTTATCAAGGCCCCTAAAGTGGAAGAAGAACCTTACTCTGACTCTTAAGGCCCCTATAGACCATACCCCTTAGAGTGCACGTAGCCCTTCTTCTAGAACCCGTGGACCCCCTTTTTTTTTGGAGCCACGAGAGGAACCCTACTCTAGCTATAAGACCCTAAACCGTAAACCCCTAAACCCCTAAGCCCCGAAACCCCAAGCCCTACACCTGCTCGCCAGGCTGAGGGCGACGAGGAGCCTGCGATCTGTGAGCTGGACTCCGCAGAGCCGGCCTTGAGCGAAGGCGGACGTTGACGCTTTCAGGGTTTCGGGTTTAGGGGCTTCGGGTTTAGGGTTTAAGGGTACTTAGGGTTTGGGGTTTAGGGGTACTCAGGGTTTGCGTAGAGGGTCTATTTAGGGTTTAGGGTTTTAGGTTTAGGCTTATGCAGAGTTCAAGGCTTAGGGTCTATAGGGTTCAGGGTTTTGTAAGGGCCTCACTAGCTAGAGTACGGGTTTTTGGTTGGTTTAAATGGTATTATAAAAAGCGGTTCCTACAAGGGTTTGGTAGACTTCTGCAACCCCTGCTCCTGTCTTCGCTGGCTTCGGGCGAAGTGCAGATGTTTGGAGGTTTGGGTCAGTGAGGCACGTGAAACCAGCTCGAATCTCATTAGGGTTTAGGGTATTAGGGGCTTTCATAATTGACTAGGTTGAATGTTTTCTGGCTACTATACTACACCTCAGCGCCGAAGTATTGGCCCCCTCAAAGCCGCGAATCCAGAATCCAAAAGCCAAACACTCAGGCGCCCCCGGTGGCCCAGAGTCTGTTTGGACGGTTCTGGCTGTTAGGGCTTTTGCGGCTCTTTGGGCTTCATCACCGCGCTTGCTCGTGAGCCGGACCTTCAGCCCCAAATGCGAAAACCTAAGTCCCAAACCCTAAGCCCTAAGCCTTAAATCTCTAAACCCTAATACCCTACTCCCAAAACCCCGTAAACCCTAAATCCTAAACCCCCGGTGATCTGCAATGCAGGCGAGGGCGATGCTCCTGAGGAGCCCGAGGCCGCAAGCTCTGTGGACCCGATGCAGCGTGGCTCTGAAGGTTGAGGTGTGGGGTTAAGGCTTTAAAGGGCTAAGGGGGTTTAGGGGTTTAGGGTTTAGGGGTTTAAGGCGGTTTAAGGGTACTTAGGGTTTTAAGGGTTTAGGGTTTAGGGGTTTAGGGGTGTAGGGGTTTAGGATTTAGGGATTCAGGATATGGGGTTTGGGTGTGAGGGTTAAGTGTTTATGGGTTTGTGGCTGAGAGGTTGAGGGTGTGCGTGCTATTGGAACTAGTGTGTTTTTTGTTGTGGGTCTTTTTTGCTATGAGTGCTGGCGGCGGGCAGGAAGTGAGTGAGTGAACTCGGCGAGCATCTGCAGCCAGAAAAGCATGCGACAGCCAGTACCCGTGTTTTTTTTAATGTTGTTGTGGGCGCTTGTTTGCTGCGAGTGCAGGGCGCCTTGTGTTTTTGCTGTGAGTGCGGAGGTGCGGCTGTCCTTTTGTTGCGAGTGTGTGGGGCGCATTGTTTTTTTTTGGTTGCGGGCTCGTGCTTTTCGTTGCTGTGTGTGTGTGGGGGGGCCGCCTTTATGCGGAGTGTTTTTGCTGCGAGTGCAAGGCGGGGCAAGCAACAAAAGGACAGCCCGGCACCCGCCGCAGACGTCCCTCAGCAAAAAGGCGCCCCACACCCACAGCAGCGCAGGAAACGCGGAATTAACCGATGAGCCACAAAAAATGCTCGCCCCGCGCCCCCACCAAAAGCCGAAAATGTGTGCCCCCCACACCCGCAGAAGAAACAAGGTTTAGATAGAAGCAGAAGCCCTAAACCCTAAACCCTCAACCCAAAACTGTGACATAAACCCGAAAATCCTATAAACCCCATAAGCCCTACCACCCCGGAACCTAGATCCTAAGCCTATAAGCCCTCAAACCCCAACACCCCCCAAGCGTGTCGATCCCGAATTTTCAGCCTCAGATTCGTCAAAGCAGACCCCAGAATCCTAACGATGTGATACCTCAAACTAATCCCGAATATAGAAGCCTAAATAGTTACCAATGTTATTCCTTAGGGTTCCTTATTATAAGTACAGTATAAAGGAGCCCAAAACCCTCTTCTAATTATTAAGGCCCCTATATTCGACATGCCTAAACCCGAAAAGAATTCAGCCCTTGCCAAAATGAAAAGGCAATAAGAAACAAACATCCTCTGGATGCTAACCCTAAACTAATCCCTTAACCTTAAAATAATGACACCTGGCCAGAAAGAAAAAGGCACTCCCCACAACCAGAAGGCCTTCTAGAACCTCAGAAAACATGGGGACCCAAATATAACCCTTGCAGAACCTTACAAAAACAAACCTTTCAGCAACCGGAAAACCTCCGACATTCTTTTGCTCTGAGGTGGGCCGACCTCCTCTTCAAATTGGCGGCACATCCCTGCGAAGCGGAGGTGGGGGGTCTTTGATTCTGGTTGAGTTTAGGCTTTAGGGTATGGGGCTTGCAGGGTCTAGGGCTTGGGTTCTAAAGTTTAGATATGATCGTTATTCATAGGATCTTGTCTCCAAAGTTTAGTTATACATGATCTTTGCAAGGTGTTGGGCATGAACAGGCCTGCAAAAAATAGCTTGTATGCAGCTGTTGGGATGTAGTCCTTTGGGGTTTTGAGGGCTGCAGAGTCTATGGCCAGGGTTCAATCATGGACAGTTTGGGCTAGCATTTTAGGGTTTAGGGTTTAAGGGCTTATAGAGTTTAAGTTTAGGGTTTAGGGTTTAGGGCCTTAGGGTTTAGAGCTTAGGGTTCAGGGTTTAGGGTTTAGGGGTTAGGGATTTTGGTCTCCGGTCTCAGGGTCCTGGGACCAGCAGTTCCACGGTTTTAAGGTTTGGAAGTCTGGGGCTCTCTCCTTCAGGATTTGGAAACAGGCGTCGGTTGAGAGAGATCGGATTTAGGGTTAAAGGTTTAACGGGTGTAGGGTCTAGGGTTTAGGGTTAAAGGTTTAAAGGGTTTAGGGTTTAGGGTTAAAGGTTTAAACGGTTTAGGGTTCAGGGTTTAGGGTTTCAAGTTCAGGCATTAGCGCGCCGAGACAGACGCAGAGACAAACAGAGGGAGGTAGATAGAGACAGACGGAGACAGGCCACATGCACAGAGCAAGGAACAGACAGTGATAAAACAAACCTAAGCAAACCCTAAACCCTATAGTTCCTAAAGCCTCAACTCCTAGCCTTGTTGCCCCAAAACCCTGGGCGTTGGGTTACCACAGCCTCTAAGTTGCGTCTGCGATGACTTCAATGTTCCCTACTTAGAAGCTCCGCAACTTCATAGACCCTAAACCCTAAACCCTAAACCCCTAAACCCTAAACCCTAAACCCCCTAGGTCTCAGTGTTTATGGTCTCGGGTTTTGCTATCGACTTCCAGGTCTTGGATGTGGGGTACTGGGTTTGGCTTATGTGGTCAAGGTCCCTAGACCCTAAACCCTAGATTCTAAACCCTAAACTCCACACTCTAAGCCCAAAACCCTAAACTCTAAACCCTAAACTCTAAACTCTAAACCCTAAACCCTACACCCTAAACCGAACTCTAAACGCTAGACTCTAAACCCCAATCCCTGAACCCTAAACCCACCTTTTGTAGCTTCGACTTTTGGAGTTCTTCTCAGTCGTGGGCGTGAAAACACAGCCACTCGGTAGGGTTTAGGGTTTAGGCTTTAGGGTTTAGGGCTAAACACGCCATTTTCTGAAGCGAAGCGTTTAGGGTTTAGGACTTGTAGGGTTTAGAGTTGAGGGTTTAAGGGTTTAGGGACGCATCGCCTGCAGAGTGCAAGCGGATTAGCGCAGTGTCCTGCAACGTGATTCTCGATGCGAGATGTGGGTAGTTCTCTGAAAATATAGGGTGCCGAATTTAGGGTCCTATGTATGAGGGACCCGAATTAGGAGAACTACCCATGTGAAGATGTGCAGCAAGACGCGGTCCGTCTTGCAAAGCGGCCAGCACGCAGCGGAACGAGTAAACTTCGTGTTGATGAGAGTGGTTGTCGTCTCTCTCGCATCGGTGAGTCAGCAGAGCGTGGGCACGCGTTGGTAGGAGATTTTTCATGATGATCGTGGTTGTTTTGCCGTAGATACCAAGAACCCTCAGCCACTGCGCAGGTCCCGGATTGCGTTTTCTGGTCAAGGACGGGTTCGCAACAAGACTTCATGATATTGGCAGGCGCGAGGCCCCAAACCCTCAACCCTTGGTGCCCTAAACCTTTGAAGGCATTCTGAGATCATCTTTGCGAAGCGTGACACAAAGGTCATAGGTGAACGAGCTTTACTGTTTCTTTGTTTTCCATCATTGCCGTACGGTTCATGTTTCTTGACACGGTTTTGCGTTGAAGGGTTTCGCTTGAGATTCTGCCTGCACTTCGTCGCTTTTGCAGCGATCTTGCATCTCTCGTCGCTGTGCCCTTTCAGCCGGCTCGCCAGGTTTATTGATGTGATACTCTTATTCTTCTTACACGGACAAGTGTGGAAGTCTAGGCCATGTCGCTGCCCGGATGCTCGATATCACAGCTGCATGTTGGCGACGGTGCAGCTGCGCTTGTGACCTGCATTGCCATCGCATTGATATGCGTTGCCGTGCACCGGCACTGGAACGAACTGTCAGACCAGATGGTGCTAATTGAGGTAGCAGGATTGTGCCTGTGCCTGACTTGCAATGCATGGTTGATTTGGGACGGCTGGTGGAATGTGTGTATTGCAGACCGGGACGATCGAGTATATCTGGTGCTCTGGGTTCCGGGGAACGCCTTTGCTTCTTTTGGGTATTTTTCTTTGGTCAAAGGCGAGTTGACGGAAAGCCAGCTGTGTGAGCGTCTCGGCATATGGCTCTTGCTGACAGGCCTGCACACCCCAACACCCATGGCTAAAAGATCCGGACCTTAGGACCCGTACCCTCAAGCCCGAACCCTAAACCCTAAATGTCCCTAAATGCCCTTTATGCCTCTAAAGTTTCCTAAGGCCCAAAGCCCTAAACCCTGGCAGGCTCTGTCTTGGACCAGTATGCCGCCTGGATGTACGAGGAGACGCTGGAGTCCGACAGTCCATACCAGTTGGTACAAGGGCTGCTGGGCCCGGAGCACGGAACCACCTTCAGTGCTTTGCTCGAGGTTTGGGGTATGATTCTTCTAAGTCTTGTATGTGCTGTGCAGCTTGAACGATTTCACACGGAGCAGACTGCATACGTTATGCTGATACTGAGTGCCTCCTGGGCAGTGTTCCGGCGGGATGCGGAATCTGTCGTAGGGGTTGCCGCCGAAGCTTTCGAAATATTAGGTTTGTGTTGTTTTCTCTATGTCCACTATTCACTATCAGCGGCGCGAAATCCTTGTCGATCATGCATCATGACCTTTGCTTGGACAATTGGCAGCACGGCTGTATTGTTTCTGGCTACCATTGTCTTGTACGTCTGTACATGTGGAGTGGGTGTTACACTCATTGCAGCTTACTTCTGGATTTGGTACGCCGGCTATTTTTCTGTGATGCTGTGCAAATATTACAACGAAGCTTTGTCGCCTGGAGGTTCATGTCTACCCGAGACAGACAGTGAAACAGAGAGAGACGACAGCAGCTCCGCCACACACTCGCACTCGATCGATACTTTTGAAGACAGCATGCGCCAATACCCACGCGGAAGCTTGCCGCATCCTTATATGCGGTTTGCGTATTCTACGTCTTCTACGTTTTCGGCATGAGCATTGCAAAAATCCGGGTCCCCGATATGGGCCGGGCATTGGAGCAACGATGGGAACGCTGATGCTGGTAAGGCAACAGCCGAGAAGACAGGTTCTGGTGTTTTGTTGGATTTGCCTTTGGGCCTGCCAGTGGATTCGCAATTCTGATGCATGTGGTTGCGCCTACGGAGTACCCGTCCCCGTGGTTTTGGGCAGTGCAGCTGCTGTATGTGCTTGTTGCAGCTGAATCTGTGGACAGGTCCTGAGACACGCCAGAGCAGGCGAGTCGGGCAGTACTACTTCGGAATCTACACCAAGGCCGGCGCCGTCTCAATCTGGAGATTCGATGGAACCGAATTGAGAGCACTTGATCTCAATCTGATCTGCGGTACTGCTTCAGGTGATCTTGGTACTCATGCAACTTACTTCGCATTCGTGTTAAAGGCCGTGCATGACATCGTCCTACTGCGCAAGTCGACCTGGAAATCTCATCCTCGTGGACAACATGTAGCCAACCACAGCCACAGCTGCGCTGTTTCGATGTTCGCAGGCACAGAGGCAGAGCCTAAACCTGGAACGCGAAACCCCCAACGGGAACCCAGCCTCTCAAGCTCTGGCCGGGGCGACTGCAACGCTGGGACTTCGATGCCTCCTCCAGAATCCAAGCTGAGCTCCTTTAAGGGGTCCTTTACGGGCTCCTCTGAGGGCGTCTTCTGTCGCGGCTCGCTGGGTGACAGTGTAGATAGCGTGGAATGGAGCTCTCATATCCTTTCTATAAGAAGCTCGAACCTTGTCCAGTTCCCTGAGGGTTGAGGGTTTCGGGTAGCTTTTAAGTTCGTTTAAGTCTATTTCGAGCATCTTGCATGTCGCCTCGAGTTCTTTGACTCTGCTTGCCCTAAAGCCCAGAAGGTTGGACAGTGAGCCTAGAGCTCAAGACCTTCCGCCCGAAGGCCCAAAATTCTAAGCCCTGAACCCTAAACCTTTAGGGCTTTTAGGGTTTAGAGTTTAGAGGCTTTGGGTTTAGGGGCTTTGGGTTTAGAGTTCAGGGTTTAGGGTTTTCGGGTTAAGGGTTTATGGTGTCAGAGTTTAGGGGTTCAGGGTTCGCATTGACCCGGACCAGTTTAAAGGGCACTTGGAGGGTCCTAGGGTTTGGGGTTTAAGGTTCTCACGACTCCAAGTCCCGACGTCTGAAGCTTTCGTCGGATTTCCCGCCGAAGCCCACCTTGGAAAGCTCAGCTTCAAGAGGAGGGGGGTTCAGGGTTTAGGGCCCTGATGGCTTTGAGGGATCGTCTAGTTCCCATTGAAGCCAGCTCCCATTTTCACAAGCTTCGAAACGCCAGAAACCTCATACAATCCTTATATTTACATATCGGAACGCTGTATAGAATTCCTCTTTACATGAACCCTTGAATGAATCCTTAAACGCTACACCCTCAAGGGAGTCCTAGATCCTGAACCCTGAACCCCTAAAGCAAGCCTTAAACGGAAACCCTAAATTTCAGCCCTTAAAAGGAGCGTTTTAAAGGTCCCCCGGGAAGGATCGCTCAACCCCAAACCCGAAACCCTAAACCCTCTTAAAGCATCCCCTGAACCTAACCGGAGGAGTGCACCACTGAGCCAGGTCGCGGCTTAGGCTGGGAGGCGGAGGGCAAACGACACTTTTCAGGGTTTAGGGTTTAAGGTTTGGGGGAGAGTTCTGTATGTTAGGGTAGAGTAAAGTATATGGTGGTATAGCTTAGTCTCATGTAGGAGTGGATTAAGGTATATGATGGTATAGGACAATATTGGAGTCGAGTATACTCTAACATAATCGGTTCAGGGCTGAGGGTTTGGGGGTTGGGGTAGGTGTTGGGGTGTTAGGGTTCGCGAGATGCTTTGGTACGGCCTTGGGGTTAAGGGTTTATAGGGCTTAAGCCTTAAGCGCCTTAAACCCTGAACACCCAACCCGACAGGATAAACCCTGAGCCCGAATTCAGGGTTTCGGCTTCTAGGTTTTGGTGTTCGGACGGCTTCCGTATCCGGGCTCTTCGTAGGCCAAGCCCTGAACCCTAAACCCTAAAACCCCTAAACCCTAATCCCCGAACCCTAAACCCCGAACCCTAAACCCTAAACCGCTAAACCCCGAAACCCTAAACCCTAATCCCCGAACCCTAAACCTAAACCCTAAACCCGATAAGCCTTTTTCGAAGCAGACTTGGGAGCTCCAGGGAAGCTCTCTGGGTTTCGGGTGTGGGCCTTGCTTCCGATGCTTCGACGGATGAGTTCGGGTGGAGGGTTCAGGGTTTAGGGTTTAGGGTTTAGGGTCGGGTGTGCTGTTTAGTTGGACGCATTGGAGTTAAGGGTTTTCGGATTTCGAGCTCGGGGATGGGGCAAAGCATCTAGAGCCTAGAGTTTGAGGGTTTTGGGTTCAGGGGGGACCACTCCAAGCCCTAAGCCCTCAACCCTAGACCGATGGCTCCTGCATAGACTTGGAAAGGTCTTACGCGCAGGAACCCATATTCTTGACTCTCAGATGATCGGCACCAGCCCATGATCCTAAATATAATTTGCTTTGCATGGGTGTAGGGTTTACGGTTTAGCAGGTACTACTTATTCCTTTCCAACTCTGCACCACGTTCTTGTCCGCGAAATCTCCGAGAGGCAGCATCATGACGCCCGGGAATCTGCAGCTTCAAAGATAGTTGAGCTGTTTTCAGATGGCTTGCCATCCGATCTGCTATGGCAGCACTACAGTGAAGCGAGGGTAGGAGGCATGCAGACCCTGCCAGGGCCGCATCTGTAAATGGGGGATTCTCTAATCAGGGTCGCTTTTGGGGTACTTATGTATGATAAGAGTGGAGTGACGTTGGCTTTCTGGGATTCAACGCGGGACCCTGATTAGAGATCATATCCACATGGTGTTGAACCTTCAGTCAGGTTTCACAAGCTGACCGTCCTCTCAGACAGTCTCGAGTCTAGACCCTGAACCGCCTTTGCTTGAAACATTCACGCAGGAAACCTCTGCTAATGGCTCGCAGAAGGTCGGCAAAGTAGGCTTTGGGGGCTGCAGGGTTTAGAGCTGGTGTTTGGGCAGAGTAGAGGCCTACGGGCCTGCTGAGCCGCGTACGTGGAGCTAGACTCGAAGCACGCCACGGAGTTTTCGACTTCAATGCCCCAAACTCGAGCATCCCTAAACCTTATCCTAAACCCTAATGCCCTAACATCCCCAAACCCTAAATGCCTCAACCCTTTAGTTTCTTTCAAAGCCCCCAGCGCGAACGGCTAGAGCCAAGTCTGAGAAGTGCTGCAGGGTTCAGGCTTTAGGATTACAGGGGTTTCTTGCTACTTTTTTGTATAATATTCGCCAAAACCCTGGTTCACTCACCCAAGAGGCTGAATACGAGATCTCATCTCTGGGGCGAGTGTGCGAAACGTTGGTTCAGGAAGCCTGGGCAGTGCAATAGTAGTTCGATAAAGAATCCCTGCTTTCTGCGATGACCCCCTAAACCCTAAACCCTAAACCCTTACTGTTTACCCATGAAGGTGCAGGGAGCTTGGACTCGATGTGTGCGGTAGACAGTGCTTCCGTAGCACACCCAGGCAGGCCCGGGATGATCGACTCAAGCACAGCATTGGGACTGCTACTCCACTACATACTACTACTACCACCACCACCGCCAAAGCCGCCGCCGCCACCACCACCACCACCACCCCCGCCACCACCACCACCACCGCTACCGTTACTCTGCCGCTACTGCTACTACCACTACGAGAACATACGCCGTCACTGCCCTGTTTAATGCTCAGGGTCATGGCTGCATGTGAAGAACGGCAGTGCAGGGCCGGTTCCGGGAAGTAGTGAAGTAATACCCGTCTTGCAAGTCTGTAAGGTGAAACCTTGCTCATCCATCATCCGCGGGTCTCTGGCCTTGTGCAAAGACTCCTTTAAACCTGTCTGCTGCGATGTAGTCCAGGTCATGAATGGCCAAAAATGTCCAGAGGTCTGAATACAAAATACAACTCTAAACCCTAAGCCCTTACCATACTGAATGTACTCAACGCACTCCAAAATCGCACATCTGACAGCGTGATGGCAGCTACACGGCGACCCCGACACCCACCCCTAAACCTAAACCCCTGTACCCTCAACCCTA